TGGGAAATGGGGTGCGCACCCAACTCCAGAGAGGGGGCAGGTGGAGTGTTTGAAAAGGAGCGCTCCCACCCGGAGGCTCTGTGTTTATTTTTGCTAGAAGCGTGTTTTCCCTTCTATTCCCCTGGCTCCCAGGGACCCGAGTGTACAGCCCTCCAGAGTGGATCCGCTACCATCGCTACCACGGCAGGTCGGCGGCCGTGTGGTCCCTGGGGATCCTGCTCTACGACATGGTGTGCGGAGATATCCCTTTCGAGCACGACGAGGAGATCATCCGGGGCCAGGTTTTCTTCAGGCAGAGGGTCTCTTCAGGTATTTTTCTTGGTAGCCCCTTGTTCAGGGAAAAAGAGGAATCACAGGGCTGTGGGTTCCCCAGGACCAGGGTTCAAATTCCGGAGAAGTTCGTTTCCCGGGCCATGCCATGATGCCTGGCTAGCAGAATCCGTGTGATCTTGCTTTGGGGAGGCCAGAGGATGAATGTAGAGCACATGTGTGAACATATTAAGAGAAGAATCTGGTTCCTCGGGAAGATTTCTTGGTACCAACAGAGACCTGATCCCGCAGCTCCTGGTGGCTTTGCCAGGGAATGACAAGTTGAGGTCTCGTAGCTCTCGCCCTTAAGGCGGTAGCTCTAAATATTGCGGTTTCAGTGACCTCACTGTGGGCGTGTTCGTGTTTGTAAGTCTGTGAGCGATTGAATCACCTCCTTGCGCTCAGCGGCGTCTCACCAGAATCCCTTGTCATCATCTTTCCTATTTCTGGTGAGTGGGTGTCGTGGGAAAGGCCCCAGCTATTGAAGTTTGAAAACCACAGGTTTAAGAGGGGAAAGCCATTTTTTAGCTGAACGCGGAGTGGAAGATCCAGATATAGTTCACCCCTTCCTACTGAAGAGCACCTGGCAGTGTTCTGGGAAGTGCCTGCAGGCCTTGAGACCCCCAGACTCGCAGGCCTCTGGGAAGCAAATTGCAAAGCTGTTTGCATTATAAAACCACGTTGAGTCATTCATAACCTCTGTCTGTTTTGCTTTCTGCAGAGTGTCAGCATCTCATTAGATGGTGCTTGGCCCTGAGACCATCTGATAGGCCGTCCTTCGAAGAAATCCAGAACCATCCGTGGATGCAAGACGTCCTCCTACCCCAGGAAACTGCTGAGATCCACCTGCACAGCCTGTCTCCAGGACCCAGCAAATAGCAGCCTTTCGGGCAGGGCAGGTCCTTCCCTCCCTGTCAGATGCCCCAGGGAGGGGAAGCCTCTGTCTCCGAGAACCAGAGAACACTTCCCGCCAAGCAGGACAGTGCTTGATACAGGAACAACATTTACAACTCATTCCAGACCCCAGGGCCTGGAGGCTGCTTCCCAAGGGGGGAAGAGACTCCGCTCCAGGCGTCCTAGGCCTCAACCCCTCCCGTAGATGCTCTCTCCTTCCCGTAGATGTCCGGGCGTTGGCTGGGCTCTGAAAATTCCCTGGGGGGCGGGGGGTGGGGGTGGGTCGGAGCCCACCATGGAACTGTCCCCTTCGTCCTGAGCTCTGCTGAATGCCGCGATGGGTCGGGGAGGGGGGGGAACAGGTTGGGATGGGATAGGACTAGCACCATTTTAAGTTCCTGTCACCTCTTCCGACTCTTCTGAGTGCCTTCTGTGGGGACTCCGGCTGTGCTGGGAGAAATACTTGAACTTGCCTCTTTCCTGCTGCTTCTCCAAAAATCTGCCTGGGTTTGGTTCCCTGTTTTTCTCCCCCTCCCCTCTCCTTTACATGAAAGGTGCCATGGAAGAGGCTACAGGGCCAAACGCTGAGCCACCTGCCCTTTTCCTGCCTCTCTTAGTAAAACTCGGAGCGAACTGGTCTTCCTCTTTAGTTTTTACTTAACTGTTTCCAAGCCAAGACCTCACACACAAAAAATGCACAAACAATGCAAATCAACGGAAAAGCTGTAAATGTGTGTACAGTCGGCATGGTAGTCTACAAAAGGATTGTAGTTGATCTAATTTTTAAAAAAAAGTGTTGCCTTTAAGTTATTTTACCTGTTTCTCTCTCTCTCTCTTTTTTTTTTTTCTGGTTTTGAAAGATGAGCATTCTAACCTGGAGGTCAATGTTATGTATTTATTTATTTATTTATTTGGTTCCCTTCCTGCTCCAAGCTTCCACAGCTGCTGCCCTCATTTTCTTCCTTCCTTTCCTCCTCTGACTTGGGGACCTTTCGGGGAGGGCTGCAACGCTTGCTCTGTTTGTGGGGTGATGGGACTCAGGCCGGACAGCTGCCACAGCTCCCTGACTCCGCGGGGCTCCGCACCCACTTACCCCAGTGGGTCGGGCTCCGTGGTGGTGGGGGATGGCATTGCTGACTCGTGTACATAGGGTAGAGATAAGAAAAAGCAGTTCTGGATGGTGTGCCTTCCGGATCCTCTCTGGGGCTGTGTTTTGAGCAGCATGTAGCCTGCTGGTTTTATCTGAGTGAAATACTGTACAGGGGAATAAAAGAGATCTTATTTTTTTTTTTTTTTTATACTTGGCGTTTTTTGAATAAAATCTTTTTGTCTTAACTTGTCGCTTCTCGTTACTGTCCGGGCAGACCCAGGCTGATGAACATTTCCTGAGCACTTGCTGAGTGACAAGCCTTGTATGTGTAGAATGGGAACTTGAAGACTATACCCAGTTAACTTTTTTTTTTTTTTGAGAATTATTTTAATATTATTTTCCAGCTTGATCAGTGAGAGAGGGGAAGTGAGAAAGGAAGCTACCAGGTTCAGGACTTAAACCGTGGTTGGCCATTTGGAAGTCCAGCACCCTTGCCACCCCACCTGTTGGACCTGCAGACCCAGTTTCCTTTAATGGGACTTAGGGAGCTCCTTTTCCAGACAAATGCATGGCCAAGTGATAGTTTCACTATAGGGCATGTGTGCTTGCCAGAGACAGAAGGGAAGTGAAAGAAATCACCCCCCAGGGGGTTGGCCACCTTGCAATCCCCTCTCCATTCTCGGGATCCTGGGCACACACGCCTGGCATGAGTTTAAGCCTCTGGGTCTGGGACTCCAACCGCGGTCGGCTACATGGGAGTCCAGCAACATAGCCATTACACCAACTGCTGGTCCCTAATTGTATTTATTTACTTAATTTTTAATTTGACCAGAGATAGACAAAGAGGGAAAGTGAGAAAGCAAGCTGCTAGGTCCAAGGCAAACCGGTCAGCCATCGTGGGAGTCCAGTGCCTTAGTCACCGCACTGCTCGGCAGCCCCACACCTCGTGTCTTTCAAGCCAACAGTCTGGGAATTGGAGCCCCGCAGTTGGCCATGTGGAATCCAGCCACCCGAACCTCCACGCCATCTGCTGGTCCAGTTCCTTGTCTCCTTATCAGCATCCACAGCAGTGACCAAGTTCCACCCTCTGTGGGTCCCCTTTCTCCCCCCACCTCGGTGCATCCACACACCGTTTGCACGCTTGTAGGTGTTCGAGAGTCCTGTCCGAAATACCCTTCACGCCTCCATGGCTTCTGGGATCTGTTCATCCTTACGCTTCCAGTGGATCCCAAACCCCAGCTCAACCCCGATGTGGCTGCAAAGAGGAAGGATATCTTGGTTCTGGGGGCTGATTTTCTGAGGTTCCCTTTTTCTGTTACGTCCCTTCCCCCCCACACCCCCCCCCTTACACACAACCAACCTCTTGGAGTCTGAAAGTTGCATGTTTCATCCTTTCCAGTAAAAGCTGACATTTAAACAATTAAAAGTTGCTCCAAACTTACAATGAAATTGAGCAAAACCCTACCCTTCCCTCTCTTGAAGTGAGTTTCTGGCAATTTCCTCATCTATCGAGACTGGTAGGGATGAAGGAAGAAGGCGTCTTTTTGAGGAAATATGGCTTGTGCTTCGATTGAGTCTAAGATATTAGGAATCAGGCCATCTCTGTGGCCTGGTGGTGAGGCAGCTAAATCTTGCATGGCCAGCCACACCGTTTGAGTCCCAGACCTGGTGCCTTGAGAAACATACTTGGTGGATGCCCACATGGCTGACCACAGTTCAAGTCTCGGACCTGCTGGCTTTCTTTCTCACTTTGTCTTTCTCTGTCTTCCTCTGGTTAAATTAAAACAAATAATAATAATAACAACAATAAATAAAGTTAACTAAAATAATTCTTGAAAGGAAAAGAAACACACTGGGTGTGTGTGTATGTGTGCCCCAAATCCGGAAAGAAAGGCGATACGGAGGGAAAGGGATGGCGGTGTGACCATTCCCTGTGAGAGGCGCTTCTCTCCTTTTCTCTGTCTCTCTGTCTCTCTGGCAAGCTCAAACATCCTCTAGGAAAATGAGGAGTTGCATGCCAGGGTTGTGTGTGTGTATGTGTGTGTGTGTGTGTGTGTGCCCCAAATCCCAAATTCTCTAGAATGGTGGAGAAGGAATAGTGGGAGTCCAGTGACATAGCCATTACACCAACAGCTGGTCCCAAAATAATTATTTAAAAAAAAAAAAAAAAAAGCAGGGACCAGCGGGTGCCATGGTGGATAAGGTGCTGAACACTGCCACATGGCCAACCACAGTTCGAGTCCTGGACCTGGTGACTTGCTTTCTGACTTTCCTTCTCTGTGTGTGTGTGTGTCTTTCTCTGGTCAAATTAAGATAAATGAATGAAGAAATAAAATAAAGAAGTAAATAAGGTGAGGTGAGGTCAATGCCGTGTCCACTGGAATATACGGAATGCAGTGGTGTTGACTTAGAAATCAGCCTTGAGCTTAGGTTTTACTGCTGTTACTTAGCCGGATGCCCGGGCAAGTTATTACACCTCGTGAGACCAATCTCTAAACAGAGATTCTCCCTGATCGGGTTATTAGGGGATCGCATTACGTAACTGATGTCCTGGAACACGCACACACATACGATCTCCTGTTTCTAGATGCGTACACGTGCTGTGAAAGGACAAAGTCCAGGGTGATGATACATTTTCAGAGTTAGGGTGCTGCTTGTTACCTCTAGGGACGAGGAAAAGAGGTGGTGACTAGGGAAGACAAAAATGTTTTGTTTTTTTTTTTTTACGATCTCCTGTTTCTAGATGCGTACACGTGCTGTGAAAGGACAAAGTCCAGGGTGATGATACATTTTCAGAGTTAGGGTGCTGCTTGTTACCTCTAGGGACGAGGAAAAGAGGTGGTGACTAGGTGAAGACAAAAATGTTTTGTTTTTTTTTTGTTGTTTTTAATTCATGATAGACCGTGTGCACATACCCAAGAGAGAGGAAGCCCCTCCACAGGGCTCGGTCACACAGCGATCCCCTTCCTCCTATCCTGCACCTGCCAGCATTCTGGGCACCTGTGCACCCAGCAGGCATGTTTCCAGGTCAAACAGGCCAGAGACTAGGACTGCAGTTGGCACGTGGCTCTTAGCGCCATGGCCAAGCGTGTTACACTGCACCACGGAAGTCAGCCTGTGTATTAGTCTTCACTATACCTTCTGATTTGCCTGAAATATTTCGTGATAAAAATGTTAAATTGATGAATCTAGGAGGAGAATTCAAAAAGTTCTTGGAGGGCCAGCCAGGTGGCATGATGGGTAAGAGGGCTGGATCTCACAAGGCCGTCTACACCATTGAGTCCCGGTGGCTTGAAAAACATGCCAGGCATGTGAAAATGAGCACCCCAAATCCTGAGAGTAGAAGGGATTGAGGCATGGGCACCCCCTGGAGGGGTGATTTCTCATTTCCCCTCTCTGTCTCTGTCTGTCTCCTGTGAACACGTGTGTCCTATAGCAAACTAAAAAAAAAATAAATAAAGGTCAAGGAGCCTGTGGCCTAGTGGTTAAGGCAACTACATCCTACATGGCTGATCCCACGGTTCAAGTCCCAGCCCCAGCAGCTTGAGAAGCACACAGGTGTGTGTGTGCGTGCCCCAAGTCCCAACGGGATGGAGACATGGATGGGGACTGCAGTGTGACTACGCCCCACGGAGGAAGCTTTCTTCCTGTCCCATTCTCTCCTGCCTCTCTCTCTCTGCAAGCACACATGCCCTCTGGCAAGAAAAATGTTAAGAAGTTCTTTGGAAAACAGAATTACATACAAGTTTATTTTGGTGCCAAGAAAAATTGGAATCCATGCCTAGGTTTTTCATCATGTGCATTTCTCATGATCTTTCTGAAGACCTGTCACATTCGTGGTGATCACAGAGGTGGCAGCAGTTGGCACTATTACTGTCCTTAGCTGAGGAGATCTGGGAAGGCTTCTAAGAGGAGGTGGCATTTCAACTGGATTTTGAATGATGAGCCTCCATGCGTTCACTTGTAAAGTAAGACGCTGAACTTGCAAATAGAAGGACTCAGTGGTTCCCCCTCCACTAGAGGAGGAATCAGCACACTGGGGCTGCTCGCTGACTCCAGCACCCCCCCCCTCACCCCGTACAGCCTGTGAGCGAAGACTGGCTTTTCCGTTCCTAAATGGTTGAACAGGCTAGAATGAAGAATAAGGTCCTAGATACATAAGATCACTTGAACTTCCGTTGCCCGTTTGTAAATGAAGTCCATCGTTTCACGTGGCGCTTTCCTGCCACCATGACAGAGCTGAGCAGTTGGCACAGTGTGGCCAGCAAAAGCACTGGAGACTGGCCCCGTACAGGAAAGGCCTGTAGCCAGCGCCCTAGATCATGGTCTCACCATTCAGCTGCACCTTTCATGGCCGCGGCCCGCCGCCAGGCACAGAGTTCTGGGTGTAACAGCCAACACTCATTCCGTAACGTGCCCGGCACCACGGCCCACTCTGCGCGTGTGCTAACGCTCTTAACCTCGCACGCTCCGCGAGGTGCATGCTATTATTTCTTCCCATTTTACAGATGGGGAAAACTGAGGTGCAGTGCAGTTAACCTTCATGCCAAAGAGCCCATACTAGGAAGCCGCCAGAGGAGAAGGTGGACCCAGGAGTGCAGGTTCATCGCCGCTCTGCTACTGCCGCCCGCGGGCGCTGGTGTGGCCTCGGCCTCCCGAGGTCCCGCAGGGCCCAGGAGCTGGCGGGCAGGTGGGTTCTTCCCTAGACTCCGGCGGTCACGGAAGCGGTTCCGGTCTGTGGCGCTATCCATGACTGCCCCCGTGAACCTTCCTCCACTCGGGCCTGGTGGGGAGGAAGGGCTGGAGACGGCGAAGGGAGGAGAAGGGGGCCAGGGGGGCTGGGTGGGGCAGGGGCGCATTTCTTGTAAATGTTGCTCAGCTCCTTCAACTGCTGAGCTGGTTCTTGGAAACCCTCACCACAAGGACCTATCGAGAACAGTGTTAAAGCAGATATGGCCTCACCCCCCAGCTCACTTCCTGCCCAGCCTTGCGCTACTAACCCCGATTGCCAAGAGCGAGGTTGCAGTGACCCTTCAGCACTCTGTGGGAGGAAGTGCAAAAATAAGCAGAACTAGGGTCAAGCGGAGAGGCTGTCTTTATTTATTTCTATTTATTGTAACAGGACATCCGATCGCAGAATCGCACTCATCATCGTCCTAGGTTCATGCTATTTTTCCGACGTGGGGCCGAACACGGCCTGCTGCTGTGACGACGGCCGAGAGCGAAGCCCTCCACCCGGTTCAGG